ATACATTTTCTATTTACAGAGTTATTTTTTTGGTTCTATTTCACGTAGGCAGATCTAGAATGAATTTCTTGTAAGCACATATACTTTTCACGTATACTCATATACTTGATGAGCATTGGAAAATGCAACACAAATAAATTGAATTTATAATGAAGACTATACGGAAAATAATACAAAATGAATAAATAATACTAAACATTATATTCAAGCGGTTTTAAAAAAGTGTTAAAGAACGTATGGCGATATTCTACATTGAGAACGAATCTGTGAAAAATGGCGGTAAAATTACAGCCATCAATCGGAGACATCAGCTGACCACAAACATATGGCGCCCGGTCTCCCGCCAAATACGCACCCTGTGATCCACGAGGCGCCATTACAATTTTATTGCTTTTATAAATGCCTCTAATAGCCACATTTTATCTGGAATGATTTTGAAAGGTAATTTGAATTGATAAATCAAATACAATATCGTACCTTCGGTTATATGTTAGGATTAACTGTATGAGTTAAGGCCGTTGTATGCATTTTACCATTTTATCTCATCCTTTATGTCTTTAAATTCAATGATATATTACATTAGTTTAGTGATTTCAAATTTAGATGTTGGCTGTATATGTAAAACTGTCCATATGTCATGGCATTCCTTGTTAAGAATTTACAACAGTTCTTTTATCCCAGTTAATAAATCTTATAGTTCACAGAATATAATTTTAATAAGTGTCTTATTATTGTGTTAAAGGAGTCGTACCGATATTAATATACAGATTCCTGATAACTATGCTGACTATGAAGCATGTTTATTGAGTTGAAACAGATTCCAATTAGGATTAAGTATAAGCTTCGTACGATAGGAAAATGCTATCATACACGTAAACATATTTATAACAAAGTATTTAAAAAGTGTGTAATTTAGAAACACTTTATGTTAAGAATGTAGGGTGCTAGAAATTTATTGGTCATTGTACGTTTAGCAACATTATTACGGAAAGTAAATAAAATACGGCTAATAACACTTAAAACATATATTTAAATTTGTATTAACTTACAAGACAGTAAATACTAATACGTAAAACGATGGTGAATGGTGTCCAATCGAAATAAATCGCCACTTACCATCTTTTATATCTATTTACAGTCTTGTGAGTTATAGTTAACAGTGTTGTCTTAATTGTACAGTATTGATCAACAAGTTATGCAATGTTATTATCAGGATCGCTATGTTAATATCAAGGTCCTTATTTAATTCAATAGTTTAGATAGTCATAAGTTAAACACCAAAGCAAAGAAATAAACAGTTTGTTTGGCACACACTTTATTTGCTTTTTGTACAACAAAACTATTCTGACCATCCTGAAACGCAAGCTTCGCCAACAAGTAACAAATAAACATAACTGTCTAACACTTATTGTTACAATAGATATACATTTACATTTATTTATATGTCTCTCGTATCTTAGGTAAAAGTAGTTTATATTCACAAAGTTTAGTTACAATCCTCAACGAACCATCTAATAGTTTCGTTCTCATGGCTATCATAGATTTACATATAGTGTATATTATACATTGCAGCATACACAGTATGTACACAACAGTAACAATCGTAATATACCTGTAACATAAATGTAACACGTTTATATAATAGTGGAATGTTTAAACGGTTGTAGAGTTAACCGTTGGATAACAGACCTAAGCCTAGAGGAGCATCAGCAAAGTTAATTTATTCAGGTAGTGTTTTCTGATTTATTAGAAATTAAAAAAGGAAAAAACAATTTTTAGTAGCCTGCTATTATAATCGTTATTTACAATGTTTTGTTAAAATTGCGCTTCAAAGGACGTTTTACTAGTTGAAACTGAAATTAGACTGGGTATTCTACATTATAGATGCAAAATGAGAAAATATGCTATTAACTTGTAAACAAATTTGTGAAAAGTTAGGCCTTCTATATGATGTACTATAGGCTGCTGAAAAGAGTACGCTGACGCACAGAAGTTAAGCTCACAGCAAAAACCTGCTTATGTTTCCCATACGAAGCCACCAGCTGCTCTGTGGAAAATGAACACATTTAATTTAATCCTGTATCTTAAACGTGCACAACAACTATGACGGTGCAACGCATTATGATATTAGGCTACTTTAAATGAGTTGATATCAATATCTGATGAATTAGAAAACGCCATTTTAATCAAAGAATTTCACAGTACTGTGTGATGATTTAATATCCATACAACTAACAAAATCTAGAATATACATTCCTACGTTTATTCGTTATTTTAAATTTCCTGGCTACAGTTTATATAGCTTAATAATAAATACGAAATTACTGATTGAAAATAGCTGCCACATTAATAGACATTTGCTCGACATAAAAAAGAATAAGTTTTCAATTTTAAATATGAATACTACTGAAAAAAGATATTTTTGTAGATGAAGGCTGGTTTGGCAGTTAAACTGAATGTCATACTTCAGAATAGTTCACCTAACCAACCCATTCGTTCTATCTATCCCAAACCGTACAAAAACACGTGAAAACTACAAATGAAAAAAGTGCCACCTCTAGGAATGAGTACTGTAATCCAACTTTCTAACAATATATTAAATACACATTAACGGTGGTTGGTTAATCTATTTTAATAACTAAACAAAAGTGGTAAAACCTTGCATATAAAACACAAATTAAAATTAAACAATTATCTTTGATTAAATGGTTTAAGTTTTAGTTTTATGCAAAAAATAAATAAAAATAACTATCAACTAAAATATTAACAACGTTAAGTATTAATTCTAATATTACGTTTCCACTGAATGAATTTAGGCGTTTTAGTTGAGCCTTTTCGTATGTAAAGCTTGGCTTTAAACGCACTTCTTTGTGTTTCATTATAAACGTAAAATAACATGAGATATTCGTATAGAACATACTCATACACATATGTTTGGCAATAGTTGCTGATACATTTCAACCTTTTATAGTTCGGATAAAAATTGTTTACACTAAACTTAAACTATTTTTCAACAAAAATTCACGTAATTAATTGGTTTGTTAAAAAGAGGATTCTAATAGGCTTTGCCGAAAGTAGAATTGTTTTTTTCCCTGAATTGTTCATCCTTGAATGCAAAATTATACAGGGTGTCCCGGAACTCTCTACCAATATTTTAGGGCATTGCTCCTGGGTAAGAAACATACCTAAATATCATATTTAAATTGTCCGGAAGTCCTTAGTTACTCACACAGCCACTATTTTGTTTTTTTCAGTCATTAATTTTTTTCTAAAGAATGGTTAAAAATACGAAATGGAAACTTTGCACAAACATTTATGACAACTAGACAAAGCTACCAAAAGATTTTGAAGATTTTTCAAATTCATAAAACAAAATAGCGGCCATTTAAAATTTTGTTTCTTAAATAACTCGAAAACCATTAATTTTACAAAAATTTTAAATGGCCGCCATTTTGTTTTATGAATTTGAAAAATCTTCAAAAATTTTTGGTAGCTTTGTCTAGTTGTCATAAATGTTTGTGCAACGTTTCCATTTCGTATGTTTAACCATTCTTTAGAAAAAAATTAATAACTGAAAAAAACAAAATGGCGGCTGTGTGAGTAACTGAGGACTTCCGGACAACTTAAATATGATATTTAGGTATGTTTCTTACCCAGGAGCAATGCCCTAAAATATTGGTAGAGAGTTCCGGGACACCCTGTATATATACTGCTAGTAAAATAACAAGATATTAAATTTATAAAAGTTGAAAATGTTTGTATTTTGCTGTTTATACTTGTATAGTTTATATTTACATTACTAAGTCCTGAAAAAACAATATAGTTCATATAACATGTAGGTGGATATGGTTATGTTATTACTATTACCCTTGTAGTATTGCGTATTACACTTTCTAGTGTGCCCATTATTTAAATTAACATGTATTTACAAATAGGTTTTCTAGGACAATAACTATTTACACTATTTGTAAAATAATATTAACAGCAGTCACATGTAGTCTAGCATACTTAAAGAAAACGCAAGCTAGAAAGAACTTACAAGTAGATTTGTAAATTATTAACTAAAACCTTTGTCTATTAAAACGTTCATAAACTATCAACATGTAATGTTTCTGGGCTTAGATGGATTGAAGTATTGTACTGCACTTGATTAAAAATACAATGTCTATTTTATATAACATTTTATATACAAGTAGTACCTTGTACGGTTAAAACAGTTCTATCAACTTATATATTTGTAACAAATGATTAGTTTTTGAAACGTTAATTATTAAACGTTTGACCTTACTACAGTTGTACAAACAATTCACATTAGTTAAAGTACACAGATTGTAGAAAGGGCATAGGTCCGTGTTATTGTGACAGGCACACTCTTATATTAAACTGAATAAGATCAAAATATCCTACACGTTCCAAAATAGATAATATTTTGAAGGTGAGTAGATGGAATGATCATAGTCCCGTTTAAATGTCCTTGTATCTTTGCTAAAGAAATCTCTTCGTTATAATACGTGTACAAGGAAATGTATAGATAAGTGTGGGGGTTCAATGAGGGTTCGGATGATTAATATAATATGTGGATAGTATAATAAAGGTGACCAATGATTCTGATATTAAATACACAAGTTGAGATGACAAATTCCATAAAATACATAAACTAAGGTGGTTACAATACTTCGAAAGTATTGGGACTGAAACTTTGTATAATTTTAGGATATTTTATCTATTTAGTATATTGCTGTTTAATAATGGCTATAAGTATAAAAATTGGATCCCTGTGGAAAATACAGTCTTAAAATAGCTGGCTTATCTGATTCTTAGCCCAAAATAGCTTAAACAGTACTCATGCTTAAAGGTCAGTGCATCCGTTTCAAACCAGGTTCTCTTTTAATATGATAATATCCAGGACCCTCTTCCAAACTCTTTCTTAGTATTCCCTAACGAAATCCTCATGTATCAGAATCCTCATGTTCAGAATCCTCATATTCAGGATCCTCGTATTTAGGATACTCTTTCTAAAAATTCCTCACATGCCTCATATTATTGTGGACCCTCCTATAGTAAAATAATTTTTCAAAGGGGACCCATTTCGAAAAGAACTCCCGAAACATGAACCTCCTTTAAGAAAACCCTTTTTGAACACAGCCTTATTATCTTTGGATAAACATTATAATATGTATGGTAAAAATGCAAAAATAAAGCTTAGTGTAAATCCCAATACCTATAACTCCTGATCATTCCACCCACCCTACCAATGTCTATGCGGCGTTCACAGATAGTGCAGTAGCGTGGACGCCAGAAGTCCTAGGCTGTAGAGTCTCCTGGTCGCCGAGGACTGACCTCCGTCCGTCGTCAACCCCTCGGTAGCCTTCTCCTCCCCTTCCCTCAGTGGACCCTGGTGACCGTTTGTTAACCTTTGACCTTCACCGAGCTCGTTGTCCTCTTCATTGTCTGACTTGGGTGGCCTCTTCACTTCCACCTCTGCAAGAAGAGGTTGTAAGAGTTAAAATGTTTTTGATTCAGATTTTTGCTTGGATGAGAGAAAGTTTTGAATTATTGATGTGGAAAGGAAAGTGGTAAAAAGTATCAAACTGTACGATATTGTGAAATTCGAAAACACTCTTTAATCATAAACTTTATTAACTCATAATCTTTAATGGTTTGCTTCTACTAAGGTTTGACCTAACAGAACATATCAAAGATCCAGAAGAATTTGATTTGTTGCCTTGGAACACTCAGAATAGTGATAAAATTTAAGGCTGACCATATTTGAGCTTACAACACGTATGGGGTCAAATTTTATTTGATTGAGTCTCTAATATATACTAAAGTAAAATTATTAAATAGAACCCTAGCCTCGGATTCCTTGAGATGTTGATGAAATGCAGGTTAACAAATAACCCCGAGAGAGGAGGTGTTGCTAAAGTCTGATTTCCATCAACGCATATGAGATAAATTTTATTGTCTATCATATTTTCTATCATATAAATAAGGTGAGTTTGAAAGTATATCTTACATATTGAATTTTTTGGCCGTTAAGTAGCATAATAAAAGAAGATGTAACAATGAAACATACATCCTACTTGATTGAATGACTCATTGGATACTTACTTATTCCCTTACCTTAAATAAATTACAGTAACTAAAAATCTATCATTAAATGATGTATCAATTGTTCTCTCTAGGCATCGAGGATTTATCAGGAGTTACCATAAGTTAAAGTTTGTCATGGAGCATTAGTGGAAGCCTATGGCGAAGTAATATTGCTATGGGATAACATCTCACATATTTTTCAGAAGAGTATGAACAATATTAACTTATTGATGATTAACGTAATCAGTGGTACCGACTGACCATTAGAAGTATTGGGTTAATACCAACCAAAAGGAATGGCATCACATTCGAAATACATCAATTCCAATAACGACGTATCCATCTGAAAGTGGGAGCGTCTGATCATGATCCCTCCAATCACCAATAAAAATAATACAGTAATACAGTGCACAGACCTACTAACATTTATATTCCAACAAACAATGATTTTCTTACAAAATTATAGGAAAAAACCCCTCAACTCACCGTAAAGTCTAATGTTTCCTTCGGCGTCCCCGATGGAGTTCTTGGAGATACATTTGTAGCCCCCGAGGTCTGACTTTTGGAAGTCTTGGATAACTAGCTTCATGGCCGTGCTGTAGTAAGAGCTAGACTCCTCTGACATCAGATACTTGTCGTTGCTTATAATCATCTCACCTGTTAAGGAAGATAATTTACAAGTTGAACCTATCACAAACAAACCAAGGAATCCTTATGACTTATGGTTTTAATCATGTTATCAACTGATGCAAGAAGAAATATCAGAGATATGATAGTACCCGCTTCAGTAGAACGTTGACACTGTCCAGTAAAGCACTACTATTCTTTATTGAGTGCTGTGTGAACGGTTTCTTCGTTGCCTTGAAGATAAACCACTGTCAGGTGTCTGGATCCTAGTCATCTTACATCACCCAGATAAAGTTCCTTGTTGGAAAACTACCATGGAAGCCCAGTAACTTTGCGTAACGAATTATCTGATTTTTAAAAGATAATATTGAGGTTATCCTAATGTACTGTATCAAAACAAAATAAATTGAACCACAGTTCAGTTTCAGTTGATATTAAAACAGGCAGCCCACAGGCTAGCTTTCCTTGTAAGTTACAAGAACAAGTAGAATTGTAATATAGTCATACACAAAATTCCAAATATAATTTATTATAACGAGGTAATTTCATTGTATCTCATGACCACTCCGTATCGATAATCTGTTACATTATCTTGAACACAGCTGATTGACCTACTTACCGGTCTCCCTTGTCCAGTAGTTGATGGCTTTAGGAGAAGCCTCCACATGACACAGCAGAGGCACGTCAGTACTGGTGGGCGCCCCGACCAGCTGATTGGGTACTTGGATCAGAGGATGAACTGAGGGACAGAAGTATTTTATTAATTCAGATATTGTTTGATGGATATAACTGTTAAACCAGATTGTGTGCTTACGAGGGTCTAAATAGACGAGTGTAGGAGTTTTGCCAACGGGTATCAGGTAGAAAGGGTCCCCATCCATGAATTCCACATACTGCGGAGTTTTGCCAACGATTGTGGGTTGCGCGAGAGGGGGAGGGGGAGAGAGAGAGATTACACGTGACCGTGAGGGTGGCTTCCACTAGGGGTGGACAAACCAGGCAGGATGCTGACTGTGTTCAAAGTAATGGAGTTATGCACCTCTGACTGTGAAAGGAAATGTATTGAATTTTTAACCTAACCTAACCTAACCTAACCTAACCTAACCCACTGCGACAAACGCATAACTGCCAAGCGTAGACAACCCTGACAATCGCTCTCCCTCCCTCCCTCACACTCTCTTTCTCCGCGCGCGTACAGATTGGCCAATGGTTTAAGGGTCGTTTCTAACATACAGATTGACCAAAGGTCCTAATGAGCAGGGGCAAAAAATGGGGGCGGAGCTTACAACAGCGATGTGTGTGGGGAAGGAGCTAGTCTATTCAAGTTAACTGTTTGTTAACGTTTCCTAATCTTACCAGATACAGAGGTGGTCTCTTTAATGCTATTGAATATCGTAGAACCAACTTGTGTAGTTGAAAAAGCTGACATTTTTTAATTCATTTTAAATATAAACTAGGTGTAAGCCCGTCCTACGTACGGGAATTCAGTAGTCAGTTAAAACCGTGTACAATTCAGATCAGCTAGTTTACACATATAAAGACAAAGTTTCTTGCAGTTTTAATGTGAAAAATCATCTTGTAAACAAATGTTGTGTGACCAAATATGTTTTTATTCCATCATAGGCCTATACGATATGCATTTTAAATCCGATAATTTTACAATAAAACAGCAATTCTGCAATTTTTACGATGTGAAAAGCGTTGAAGTGAGATTTGCAGCCGATTCGCACAGACGCACACTGATTATAAGTAGCCTACAGTAGAGAGAGTAATAGTCAATTGAGAAGTGTATAGACCTAGTCAACAATACCGCCTTCCATAGCATACCTGCCTCTTCCATAATTATTATCACCACAATACAACTACTATACACAATTTCCAGTAGGTCTGAATAGAAACGACCTAAAATAAAACGATAATATCCAATAAAATTCACAGTACACATAATTTAACTTTGGTGTCCTAAAATCAAAACTAATCGTCACACCTATCCTTTAAATCAATTTCACTGCATTAATTGCTAAATAAATAAGTGTAAACAAAGAAAAGTAAAAACAATAACAGTTTGTTTTGAAACAGCTGTTTGGTTCAAATAACATTCATTTGAAAAAAAGAACTGGTCACATGTAGCAGGAATATAAAAAGTAAACACGCTAGTAAAGCTAATGACGTAATTGTCAATGTTTATTATCCATACCGTTATCAGTTCTATCCTTGATAAATACCCACCCTCATTGAATAAATGTACATCGTAATTTCCCATATTAGTTAATTTAAACTACAATATATTCATAGTTGAAATAAAAGTGATATTTTCACGTTTGGGGGCGCTGATATAGGCAACCCCAAACGTAACCACAACTGAACACGATTTCATTAGGATGGTTTGTCTAATTGCAGTATCCTAGGTCAATGTTGACGTTGTGTTCATCTATGTCATCCATCTGTTTATCTTTGTTAAAAACCCGGCTGAGGTTGTGGTGGTAATTTAAAATCGTGATTCCTGATTATTCTTGATCTTCTTTTTATGACATCAATATTTTTGGGCCATATCCAAACAAAGTTAAAGCAGACAAACATTAATTGTAAACAAAAAGCTACCATGAAGAATTAAAACATGTAAACATTGTTATTTTTCTATTCTTTCCTTGAAAAGTGGAGTAGTAAAATAATTTGCATTTATCCTTTTTTATTAAGATTCGTGTACAGAGCCTCGATTTGTACTGTGGTTTAATTAATTTTGGTCTAAACTATTTTAAACTGTGGTCTAATTATCTCTACTAATCTTACTTATTTCCTATAATCAATGACAAAATAAGAGTAAATAAAATAACCTCATAGTTCCATAGTTTATATTTAACCAGCTGTTAGTTAAAACAAATTATATTGCTCTAAAACAAATCGAAGATTACAAAGATTGCTTTAAAAAATAATTTGAACATCCTAGTATTTTACTATGTATATTTAATTAATCTGTCGTCCTCTTACAGAAGAATTGAACGTATCAATGATTAGCATTACACGTAGTATAAATAAGTCAACCCTAAGTATGTCTCTAAATTTTTATCCAAATGCTGAATTTGTGACACAAAAGCTGAATGTTTACAGCTGTTATGTTAAGCAAATTATTTATGCCAATATTTAGTTTAAAATCTTAGCGTCGGCTGCTAGACTTTTTAAAAATTAAAACTCAATTTCTAAAAAACTGGGACCCTAAACTAAAATTATGGCTTCGACATTCCCTAGTTCTCAAAATTATCTTTCTTTCAACACAAAAATCATGAAAATCCGTCGAGTGGTTGATTCGGAATCGTGAAATAAAAAACACAGTTTCGTTTTAATATTATAGATACTCTTAAGGTTAACATGGGAAACTATGGAGCCATTGGGGCAGAGCCCGAAATGATTTTTGGGATAAGAATACGTCTAGATATGTTAATCGGGAATGTGAGCTATCTTCATACCAAATTTCAACCCGATCCGACCAGTAGTTAATGCGTGATTGGATATCAAACAAACGAACAAACTCACAAAAGTTCACAATATTAGTACTTCGATATATTGTAGTTTTTAAGGGTGAAAACATGATGTCTCATCATATCTCTATTATTTTCATTGCGTGCGCGATCTCTTCAAGGCAACTTCAGAAAGATTAATAATACTAATGACACATGCTATGAAAACAAAAAATCTAACGTAAACCATTTTCTTCTTTACATTTTATACAAAACTAGCTGTTGTACCCGTGCTTTGCAACGGGAAAAGGACACAAAATAGAAACATTTTAATCTTAACATCTGTTGCATATAATAGTTACACATCCGCAAACGCTTTTAGAATCAAAATTCAACTTTTATGGCCTTAATAGAAAAGTTAAAGTTATAAATTTTAAATCTGGGAAGTAGTGGATAGCACCATTTTGGTTTTGATTAATTTAAAATCTTGTGTAGACTGATATGAGAAAACCTGACAAAATCTTCGAATACAACTTTGACATACATGTTTTACCTTCATCTCCCTTAATTAAATATCTTTTAATTTATTATTGACATTTTTAAATTTCAATTTTGAAGTTGCAAAAATACTAATTATTACACATACAGACAGACACCATTTGTTTTTTTTTATAATACCGTAGTATAGATAATACAAAATTTTCTTGATTTAACTTAAACATCACCGACTTACAGATAACCCAATTTTCGTATGGATGTAAACAAAATTGTACTATGGACATATGTTTTGATGTAAACAAAATTTCATTGTAAACTTGAACAAGTTCAGATGATTGACAACATAATTCAGCACAAACTATGCAATTTTAAAAGCTAATATAACGACATTATATGCTTTCACAGGATATCATCCAAACGGAATAATACCTCAAATTTGGAGTTATTATTTTCTTTTAGCGGCAACTGAAAATGTAGCTGACTGAATATTAATAACAAATTATTATTTATTTCAGGATTTTAAGGCAAAACGTTAAGAATTATTTTATGTTTAGAATTTTAATTTTTGGTTTACGTAAATGTTGAATAAGTGAGTATATTTTTATACTCTGTGGTAGAACATTTTATCTATATAATTCATACGCTACATGAAACTTTGTCGGTTGAACTCCTCTGCCATTTCTGAACCGATTTTATCCATTGACGTCTCATTGGAAAGAGTGTGTTGCGTAGATTTGCAAACTGGCCTTACATTTATTTAAAAGTCCCTTGGGCTCTGCTCCAGTGGCTTTGAAAGTTCCCATGTTATCCTTATGGAGAACTTAATTGTTTACATTTTGATCAGCTGTATTATTTAATTGCTGTTATTTATTTTTCAATTCAATGAAACGCATTGAGTACATTTATTTACTATTTGAGTTTGTGTAAACATAACCCCCAAGACAGAGCGTTTAAGTATGGTTGTATATCTTAAATTTGTGTATTTATCGTTGTTTTGTGTCGCTATGACGGATCGTGTTAGCATGATTGTAACTTAAATTTGTGCATTTATCGTTGTTTTATGTAGCTATAATTTGTTTATTTGTTGTTTTATTCTTTTAAATGCCTCCGACGCGAATACAACGACACATATAGACAGGAGGCGTAATCGTGATAACGACCGCAGCTACAGAACAGTGGCGCGTAATAGGCTTAACAGTCAGCACCTGACCCTGGACAATCTCAACTATTAGGTTACAAATGCGCCCTAACACTACCCCAAAACGACTTTTCGTTCTCAATTGGCCCTCTATCAATCCTCTATGTACCTGTGTTGCCTGTACAGCGAGGCATTTTGAGAAGGAGAAAACCGGCCGGAATGCTTTAGGTTTATCAATAACGAAGATAAACATGGTCTGAGTTACACACCGGTAATCTTTGAGTTGACTCTTTTAAAACTCATTGTAAATATGACTGTTACGGTATTCGTTTTGAAATAACTCCTGTAATACTTTGCAATTGCTCGAATTTGAGCAACATGTACACTAGTTCAGGTTATTTCACTTCCAATGGAATATCTTTTTCCTTTTTTTTAACTTTTGTTAAAATACTACTCCTATAATGAATATTGCTAGATTGGTTTTGTGAACTTAAAAATGAACATCGTGTGCGAAATACTAAGACAGATATTCAAGGTAATTTTCAAACAATGGGTATACACATAAAAACGTGAATGCTTATGTTTTGAATCTTGAAAGAACACTTCAGGACTTTTAAATGGTAACATTATCCTTATTGCTATAACTAGGTCAAACAAACTAACAATTTCGTAACCAACTCGACCTCCCAAAAAATGTACTTTGTGTACTTGAAAAGAAATTGATAGTGAGTTAATAAGCAATTAGTTAGATTTTATAGCCTATTATTTGTATTAGAATGCCGCACTGTTTTGTTTAAGCTACAGTTGAATGTAAAAACCTCATTTGTTTACTTAACAGTTTACATAAAACTTAGTGTTTTAAAAAGTAAAATTCGTCTCCTGAGTTTGGCCACCTCTGTGACTGGTAGAAAAAGTTAACAAACACTTGACTTGAATAGCCAAGCTCCTCCCCCACGGGACATCGCTGCTGTAAGCTCCGCCCCCATTTTTTGCCCCTGCTCATTAGGACCTTTGGTCAATCTGTATGTTAGAAACTACCCTTAAACCATTGGCCAATCTGTATGTGGCCCTTTCTCCCACCACCACCGTTGGCAAATTTCCGCACCAAGAGGTGGTCGAAGGCATCCCCCCCATCTACCTGACACCCGTTGGCAAAACTCCGGTTCCCAAATAGACGGTCAAAGTTTTGTCTTTGGGCTGTGACAGCGTCGTTAAAGTGGTAAAAATTCTGGCCGGCGTTTTGGATCCGCTGCACCAATCTACCCTCAAGATGGATCCCGTTTATTGAATAAAACATTATAAAATTGAATAAAATATCCCGAATTCAGTTGATTTTATTATTCAAAAAGGACTATTCGCAAAATTAAATGATCTATACAAACTGCAAGTAAGATGTTTATCCGTAGTGTGTTGGTGTAAGCTGGAAACTGAAAAAATACACTTTGTGAACACGTTGGTAAAAATGGACCAACTTTGAAGTTAACAACCTAATTTGCCTGGAATAGTCTTGACTAATTTAACTGTCAGGGATTTGAGATTTAATAGCAACATTGAGTCAAAGTGCAATTTTATTAGTTGTAATATAGTCCGAAGTATCGATATTACTTTTTTGGAATTAAATACCATAGTTTGGTGATAATTCTGCTTTTAAAGTGGAAAACTCGTGTATAATAATTGTAGTCGTAACTCACAAAGATAAGTTTTAAAAGAGACGATAATAATTTAGTTTCACATAATAAACTGAACGTAAACCTCAGCAACATAACTAGCATATTCTAAGGTATTAGAAATGTTACTTCGCATACAGTAAGAGCTTAATAAAATTAAAACCTTTGTTAAGCCTTTAATTAAATAAACATCTTGTATTTCAAAGTATAAAATAAATTTACAAGTATGCTTTATGAGAAAAATTATTAAACTCTTCTCTAAGCTTTTTGCAGTAGTTAAACATCTTTCAAAGGGAGTTTCGACAGTTAAAAGATAACAAGAGGGTGGACTAGAAGGGAAACCAATAAATAAGGGCTGGGGACAAAGAGTCTGTTATCTGAGCTAGTGGTATCTGTATGATATGTGAGGTGTCAATAGCAGACTGAGGGAGTTAATGGGCGACAAAAATACGCCTTTGGTCAGATAACAGATAAAAGGGGACCCAGGGCTTAATTGGCTTTCTTGATCATAAAGGGCATTTTAGAAATAACGTACAGGTCTAAAAAAAGTTAACTCTCAAAGAGGATAAGTATTTGTTAGGCTGTGTTGTGTTTTTAAAAATATGTACATTATTTAATGTTTTTGACTAGTTTCAAGAGTTTTAACTGATCGTAAGGCAAATATTACCTATTTAACTTATACAATACTGATGTTCAACGTACTACTTTACTTTCTTACACACTTATTCATACTATCTTAGACGTAGTTTTAAGAATAGCCTTTTCCGTTTAATTTTAGCTGAATGGTATAGTACAATATGAGTGACAACTTAGGTTATGGTTGTCAAGTAAAACTTATGGTTATGCATAATTTGGGAAATTAGACATACTAATGTCATAGGTTTTAGAATCGACTTCAAATATGCAAGCTTACTTAAATTATTGTACAATCTGAAGGTCGTTAATGGGTTTTTGAAGCATTACTCAAAAAAGTAGAGGCTGATTAAATTTGGTTTTTGACAGACTAACCAAAATTTGTTAAAAAAGTGTTTACTATACTTTCTTATCGGACTATGACTAGTTACGATATACAGAAACAATACATGCATCACTAAAATCACAGAAAGCAGATTTAAAATAGTGTAAAAACCTGCTTATGATAATCCCTGAAATTAGTTTCGCCCCAAGATGGATCCAACAAACTCAAAGGAAAATAAGTGAAGACATTGAATATGTATATTTAGTGTTTTTGAGTAGCACACTCTGTTTGGGCAGTTTGTTGTATGGTGCTCTTTGGCAGCTTACTAATATAGGATCTTTATGTAAGGTTTGAAGATAGCTCCAAATCGGAACTGAAAATCCGGCTGGACCCAACGATACAGTAGTGTTAGGGGATTGGTGAAATTGTTAAGGGGTTACCATTACCAACAATGTTCAATATTTGTTGGCAATCCTGATTCTAGAATACCTTCAAGAATGCAGTAAAATACTTATGTGCTGACATCTTGTATAGTGTGTACTTACAAAGTACGTTCAGCATAATAAGTTTGCTAACCTAAAGGAATTAAGATTAATTACCTAAGATTGTATTTAGTTGGAGTAGAAGGGAGGTGTCCAGCCTGGAGATGGCTCCAAATCGAGAATGAAACTAGTTACTAAACCCAGTTTAAGCGGTTACCAAAACATGTATTTTACTTTATATCGGTAATCCGGAGGCTTTTATTACCATCTCGAAGACATATACACCCTTACCATAGACAAATAGAATAAATATGGACTGTCAAGGGAAGGTTCCGGCACCCACCGATAGGAGTGCCGTGTAGTTACGGCACACACCACTGCAGGCGAGGAGCGAAAGAGCCGTATACTACCAGCAGACGCTGCACCGTAACTACACGGCACTCCTAGCGGTGGGTGCCAGAACCTATGCTAACCGCAGCATTGCTGACGGTCTATATTTATTCTATTTGTCTATGCCCGTACTGGAGTACAGTGCTGCTACATTTTGTTTAGTTGTACTAAGGAATACATTTTTTTATATATTTACCATACACAGGGTGTACTTACAATGTACGTGCAGCATCATGCGTTTGCTGACTGAAGGAGGGACACCGTTGGCTGCGATGCACAAGTAAGCTCCCATCTCTGAGCGAGTCACCTTGTTGAGTGTCAGAACCTCTCCTTCTACTGTGGCTACTGACGAAAAGTATAACAGATTAAATATGCAAATTATGTTTTTGACGATTAAATTAAATATTGTAATTGAGCTTCAGGCAAGAACACACTTACACGATGCTACTTGTGGGATTGTTGTGGACAACTCGACCTATGCTCATTTTAAAGATTTTCTTCTGACTCCTTGTGAGATGTACCCATGATATGACAGAGAGCTGAGAGTTCCTTCAAAAAGTAGATTTGTATGTGTCGTGTAGATGTACCGAATCTTATTGATTTATCTGTTATCGTTCAGAACATATTAGACCCGTGCGGGACTTTACCTGTATAAATAAACCACCACAATTAGTTAACAGTAATAACTTAGTTTAAACAGTAATAACCATTAGTAATTACACTTGTATCCAGTACCATGCTCGACAGCTGAGGTGCTCTTGGTTTTGCCCGGAGACCGCACGATGATGTCTCCACCATCCTCCCTCCTCCAGACCACCTTAGGCTTAGGGAACCCTCGGGCCTTGCACACTAGCTTGGCGGAGCCCCCCTCCGGCACCATCATGTCGCCCGAGGTCTCCTCGTAGATGATGTCCGGGGGAATCACCACCTCTAGGAACGCCATCTGTGGGGTACGATAGAGGTTAAAAAACGAAGCCAGAACCAGCGATAGGATGATTAATCGTAGACAATTGTTAAAGGGAAAAAGCGTTTAAGTAGTGGTCAGTGCGCGTGTGGAGGTCGGGGAGGGAGGTTCAGGGAAAATGGCAGGATTTACTATGCTTACAAGTTGCTAGGAAGTGAAATCTAGTGATAAATTAAAGCTTCAAGTTGACAAAAGCTTAACCCAGAAATAAAAAATCAAGACTTAGGAATTAACGCAGAATTTATTAAGGAAATAAAACATTCGTGTTGATTGTTGGGCCAGATTACAATAATTAACCACAGCTATTTGTTTTACGAACAGTCATAATCTCCTCTTTATCATCCGAATAGACCTGCCATAATCTGTCATAATGAGAGATACAGAATCAATTGTTCATATATATATATATAAATGTAATGAGTTTGGATACTAACAGAAATATAAAAAAAAGGTTTAATACATGATATTAGGCAAACCAATCTTATTGCAAACTCATTAGGCTGTTCAATGACGTTTTCTCTTTTTTCATATGAAGAGCATCATATTTAACACGAATATAAATAAACGTTGAACACGAATATGAAACATTTACGGTAGCCAAACTGATTAGTCATGATAACAGACGACGCTAACACGGCGGAGTTTGGGTCATATGCCTGATCTGTTAGGTCACCGTCAATGTTTCGTATTAGTAATTGTGTCGTGTTTAAATGTTTACTTATTTATGTGTTAATAATGACGCTCTTCGTATGAAGAAAAACTGTCTTTGTACAGTCTGGTGATGGCTCCACAAAGGAGTCGATACTAATTGCGTTTGCAACAAGATTGGATTGCCTAGCAGGTATTAAAAAATTTGTCATCATTATATAACAATCTGAAGGCTAAAATCTACAATAAGAGAAATATAAAACCATCAATACATCAAGCTACTACGTCGCCTGATCTATTTAGCTGAACTCACCTGGCTCTTCATAGGATCGGTGTTGACTTGGCACATGTAAGTTCCTCTGTCTTCTCTTTTCACACCCCTTATGTTCAGAGTCCAAGTGTTGAAGTCATTATGAGTGACGCTGAGTCGTTGATTGTTGGTGATGACGTGTTCGTGGATCGCCAGGATAGCTTTTGTATCAGCCTTGATCCATGCAACCTTTAAGACATTAGCATGATTAAATATTATTAAACAACCATCATGTAGTATATGTATCATCATACATAATTTGCCATCATAGTTTCGTGAAATAATTATATAATTTTTATGTACAGTACTTTACCTTACAGTAGACATCCCATATCCGAGAGAAAGCTGTAGCTGGGTCCATAATGAAAATGACTTAGACATGTGCTGATTATATAGTCTGCTGTTGTGAAATTACGTTTTCATTCTGACAAACTGAAAAAGTGCCACAATCTATTCTACCTAATATGTTCCTTATCAAAGTATGCTAACAAGAAAAGAAAACAGATTTTCAATAACAGCGGCTAATGATGACATTTACTATATTGATCTTTTCGAGAAAAAAATAGTTACAACGATCTTTACAAATTGGATGACTTCAACATTTTAATGTCTAAAGTTCATGATATAACACTAAACTAACTTTAAAGTTTCATTCTCATAAAAAAACCGTAGGAATTTGTGTTGGGTTTCTTATTTTTACTAATCTAAAAAAAACATAGAAATGTCAAAGAAACCCTTACAGCTTAGATTAATGTACCTATGGATAATTTTGGAATCGTTGAACATTCTTTTTAAATAAGAGAATGCTGTTACAATTTATTATGGTGGTTATTGTTTGGAGCACATTAAGGGACTGCGAATAGAGTTAAAGTACAAAGAAAAACTTCAATGTGCAAGTACTAATATACATGTTGCAGGCATGCGTTTGGAAGTTCTAGAGATTCACCAAACACTTACCTCAAGTATTAGGTAATAACAGATTCAATAAATTATATATTAATTTGATCACGGTTAGCCAATATGTTTTGGGTTGAAAGGTAATGTATCAAAGGTATAATATATCATTACAATTTATAATTTTTTCAATTAAATTAATATCACAGCTTTAAAGAAGTGTTGATGCTAACTAAACAAATATTTACATTATTTGAAATAACATTTTAACACTCCTACCTAACATTGCAATGCAGGGCCTTTCTTTAACAATCCACGGTAAAAATTAACCGTGATCAAATTAATATACAATTTATTGAATCTGTATTCATTGAATGGTCATCGGAGTTATGTTAGATGTCCATCAAACTATTTATCCTTACAAATATACATTTAAGCCCTTACTCCTTCCCATATGTACATTTATCTTCCTAAGCTTTTATATATACGGAAGTACCTAATTCAATTTGTGAATCCAATTTAAGTGAAAACACAACTATTAAGCAAAATAACATGCTTTGAATTTATAATCTAAGAAAGAATTAAACCTTAGAAACAGCCTTCTATGCCTGTCTTATGGTGTATGTATTTCATTGGGCTGAGTTAAATGTAAGCAAATAACAAAATAACGCACAACAAATTGATCTTCATCAGATCCGCTGGCATCCTGAAAAATATTCAATCATGTAATTCAAAGTATATAATTGAGTAGTAGGAATGAATCATTTCTGGGCTGGTATTTACTGGAACCATAAAAACACATTTTTATAAATTAGGCTATTTATATCATTATGTTAGCACCACCATCCTGAAAACATTGTCTATTGGAACTGGTGGCAAAAGTTAAGTGCACGATTCAGCTTTAGAGACGGAGAAAATAATATTGAGTATTCCATTATATCTCAGCAGGAACACCAGGAACATCTTTACATGCACCAATGGACCTGAAGCTGTAAAAATACAGAGTATTAAGTATTAACGTTTTTTAACGTTTTTTAGTATATAATGTTATTTGTATAGAAAAAAGAGGAAAGTAGAAGATCGCTGGAATCGAAAGTATAACTTGTTTACTTTGTCTATAAAGGACAAACACAGATATTGTAACCAGTAAAATGTGATCTAATATACAATAACAAGTTTTATTTTTGCTGAGTCGTTAAAAAGAAACCGTTTTAAAAGAAAGAAAACGTGCTTAAAAAATATATTCAAATAAAATAACGAGTGTATCCCTTATGAAAAAGTTTATATATGGCCATATCAAATTTTTTTTATCCGGTTATATTTGGTTTTGGACCAAATACAACCAGATATGATCATATATGGAATCCCCCAGATATGATCATATATGGAATCCTCCATATATGATCATATATGGAATCCTCCATATATGGAATTTTTTAATAAAAAATATATAAATAAATAAAAAAATAACAATTAAACATATTTTTACCTTAAATGGTATAAACTATAAATTAAAACTATAATAAAAATTTTAAATTCAAAAATTTCAAAACAAAATATTTAAGCATCTGGCTGGGAATTGAACCCGGGACTCCGGCGTGAGAGTCTGCCCCCTTAGCCACTACACCACGATTGCTTCATATCATGTGGAAGATCAAAACCCATTACGAATAAGAGAAGCTGTATTTGGTCTCGTAAAACAAGATTTTTCTTAGACATTTTATGTCATTTGAAGAATGTTATTATTAATATAGCCTAACTACGTGACATTGATATTTGAGGCTGTTTGATAGCAAAGGTACAATTAATTAATTATTAATATAATATTCTCCTTATTTAGGCCTACTACACTTACAATTTTAAAATTATACGTCAGTATTAAGATTTTGTTGCGTTATAATAAAATTGTACAATAGATGTATGTACAGGATTTTGTCATCAGGGTTCAAATCTGGATATTTTATTTCTTTACTAATAATTACTTTAAAGGAGAATTGCCTATATTATCTGCCCCCTTACTGTACCACATATCAACTCAATCAGTTAAGTAGTTTGTGCTTGGAGAGCAACAAGAAAATACACAAACTGATAAACTTTAGATTTTTAATATTATAAGAAGTGTTTGGGAGTTTGAGAGTTACATAATCCTAAAGTGGCAACAATCCCTTATAATAATTCCAGTTATTGTCAAAAACTCATTTATAGATGAGCATAAATGGAAAATTATTATTCCATATATGAGTAATTTAATTTCATACCTGGGAGTCATATATGACCATATATAGACCATAATTCCATATATGGAGGATATTTATGGCCATATATGGGCAATATTTTCATACATAAAAAACATGTATGGCCATATATGAACAATAATTTCATATGTAGAAAACATGTATGGCCATATATGGGCAATAATTTCATATATAGAAAACATGTATGGCCATATATGAACAATTATTTCATATATAGAAAACATGTATGGCCATATATGAACAATTATTTCATATATAGAAAACATGTATGGCCATATAAGAACAATTATTTCATATATCGAAAACATGTATGGCCATATATGAACAATAATTCCATATATATACTACATATATGGCCATATATGGACACCACCATATATGGATACAACCACATCTGGCCATATATGCTTCCATATATGCTCATCAAAACCCATATATGGCTTTATAAAACCATATATGGAATTTTGATATGGCCATATATGGCCAGAAATTACTTTTTTATAGGGGATGGGTAGGAGTGTTTAATTCTAGACACCTACATGGTTAAAATATGATGGTAATTAACCTAATGCGTCAAATGAATCATTCAATATAAACAAAAAGCTAATCAATACATGTAAAACTGTCAGAACCTTCTAAATGATTCGTAGTAGGAAAGTATCTGGAGTCGAGGTACCAATGGATGATTACAGAGAAGGGAAAATAAAGTATAAAGAAAGTTAAGTTAATGATTGAGATAAAAGAAAGTTAAATGAGAAAGGGCAATGAGAAATAGTTCGAATGACCAGAGGGGTAAAATATAGAAGAATGGAGATATTGAAATTGAGAGTATGTGAGGGAAAGAATTAACACACTAGTGTTACGAGAGAACAAGACACCCTTATTTATTTTCATTTTGAATGCAACATATGTTAACAATTTAATAATGAGGAATAATTTAATATGACAACAAACACATATTGTTGAGAAGAGAATTAGTTTTAAGCAAAACCAAGAGGATGAAATATAACGTTCAACTACTGAAGACCTTTTAGTAGAATAAAGTAGATTTTAATCACAAGTATATACAATTGTATGTTGTATATAATGTTTGCCGGCCTAATGGTTGAGATAAAAAAATTATTTAGGCTGTAGAACAGGTTCAATCCCAGTCTTTTGAAAGATATCTATTAGAAGCATTTATGTAGTTTTTCTCACAAACGTCAATGAAGAGCATAATTTTGATAAATTTCACTTGCAAGACTCAATAGAAATTGGTATCTTTCTCAAATAAAATACCAATTTGTAATTGCAATGAAAAGACAATTTATTAGTATCCGGTCCAGCGCGGAAGGCAGCGTAGTTCATAAATCCGCCACTCTAGCGCTAGTGATGCTACAACGTACCTTTGTTGTACTTCCGGGGTTGATTTGTTTCCAGACACTTCCTTTGTTTACGATTGAGTGAATATAAAATGTTATTTGTTCTCCATAAAAAACTTTCAAAATAAATAAACTCAGTTTCATTCGAAAAATTTACAAGATTGCCAGATTAAGGTATTGTTGGCAAAATCACACAACATAATTTATATTTATAGAACAGTTGGTAAACGTGTTTGACAATAAATTTATATAAAATAGCAACATTTATAATTCGAGTACCATGGTATGAGAAGAAAATGTCATATTTTTGCAGGTCTAGAGACTAAATAAAAATTTAGAATAAACATTTCCAACGACAAATACAATACTTTATACCATGTGATTAACGTTCTTAGCGAAATAAGACCCTAAAATTCAAAATTAAAATACATTCAGATTGAAGAAAAATATTAAAATTATTCATAACTTTCTTATAAATTTCACGATCAGCAATAGCTTAGTGTATAACTAAAGAAAATGACACACAAATTTACTTGGGTTAGAAACAAACATCAACATGTTAGAAAACATTGAAATTAAGAAATGCAATACTATACTATATATTAATTTATAAATAAACGTGCATACGAATTTGAAATATTACTTATCCGCTTAGTTTATTATAAAAAAGTTCAAAACA